CCTACACTCGCTTGCAAATCCAACTCACAACTTGCCACAAGGCGTGGCCGAGACTCTCGATGCTTTTATAACTTTAACACAGAGCTGCTACGTAGTACTCTACTGGTTTATGTAGTATCTTACTCTTTAGCCATTGGCTAAAATTTATTCAAAATGAGTCAAATTCTATGTTTTAAGCTGAAGGTGGAGCTATACTGTGGTATTTAGGCAGCATTTTTAATTTTTAAAGAAAATGCACCAAAATGCTAAAATAATGAATACACACATTTAAAACACTATTAGACACTCATTTATACAGTTCATTAGCAAAAAAAAGTTAATTTAGACGTTACTTGCTCTTTAAGGGTATGTGTGGAGCGACAAATATGGCATCTCATGTGTTAATGAAACTCTGGTCAAACTCTGATCGTAGCTAGAAACAAAACATCATTACATCATTCAGACTTGCTTCTCCAGATACGAGAGCTCTGACAATAACACCACTCACACACACACCATTCATCTCACATCTCATTACACCAGATCCATACATCATTAGAGTTAGAGTCAGTCTTGTTTAAACTTGTTTAAATTGTTTAGTAATAAATCATCTTAAACGTTTTAAAGGACTCTCTCTTCTCTTGTCTCTCAGTTAATACAAAGTGTTACAAAATCCCAGCAATAAAAAGTTCCAATCTTCTGGTTAAATAACTCAGCGGTCCATAAGACTGATTTCATATCCACTATGGAATCTTATGTCTCACGGGTCCTTAATTAGATGTGAATTGACTTCTTTTACAGGGCTAAAGAGAGATATTTCATTTACCAGCTCGCATTGGTCATTATTGTAATTAAAAAATGAAAACAACAAAAAAAATCTATTTTCATTAAATAGATTTGATTCCCCCCCCCCCCCCCCCCCCCCCCCCCATGATGATAAAACTGCAAAGTTCCACCAAATCTAGATGGTAAGTTTATCTTCATTTACACTCCAGATAACACACCTTGTCTTGGATCTGCAGCTCACGGATGAAGCTTCTGGAGTCTTTCTGCTGTTTAGAAATGTTAGCTTAGCACAATTCTAGCTTAGCACAATGCTAGCTTAGTGTAATGCTAGCTTTGTGCTATGCTAACTAGCTTAGAGTAATGCTAATTTAGCACTAAGCTAGGGGTCTCGTTTGCCGGCTTGAGTTTGAAATAATCCCACACTCTAGAAACGTTTTGACATTTGTTTCCTGAGTGTTGTCATCCTTATTTCCCCAGCTTCTGTTGCTCACACTGACCATGATCTGTTTGTGGCAGAATGAGCGCGCTTCTCATTTACGTCACGGAACCAGGAAGTAACGCCAGGAGGAGATTGTTTGGACATGAAAGTGAAACAATAAACAAAACGTTGAAAATGTTATTTAAATATTAAAATTTTGTTTCAGTTTTAGCTCTGCTCTCTTTTATTCCAAACAATACTTAATAGAAAATCATTATCATTCTAGTCATTTGCATTAGATGCTCTCTGTGCCATCAGGTTCTGTTCACACAGTCTTCTCAGGAATGCAGATTTCTTAGAGCATGTGAGCGGGGTAAAAGACGTGCAGAGTCCTCCTTAAATTAGTAAACAAACGTGGCCGTGAGCAGTGTTACTTTTGGAGACTATAACATGAAGCACACAGCTTCCCTCTGTCTCACTAAACAGTGGCGCTGCCCGCCTTCTCACATCAGTGTGTCCCCGTGCTCCCGCGACTAGCGCAACAGGGTCGAGCTGCTTTCAGAGAAGATGTTTATCTCCTGCATCCAGACTAATTGTGAATCGGCCACGCGGGAAGCTGCCACTGGCTGACTCTACCTGCCAATCACAGGCTCCCTCTAGTTGAACGTCAGCTGGCCAATCAGTCGGTAGGGGGTGTGTTGGGTTGACTCCGCACCAAGCTGAGCGTCGTGGAGCTGGTCCCAAAAAAAAATGGTCGTCTGGGCACGGGAAACGTACAAATTACCCAAATGTGAACACAATTTAACTAGGCTGGGCCAGCTAAGATGTGACTGCACCATAACCGCCCGTATCAAGGAGCCTGGTACTAACACACTCATGGAGTAACCCCCCACAGGGCTCCAGAGAGACTTGGTCAAATGCTTTCTCCAAGTCCCCCAAACACATGTAGATTGTTGCACAGCCAAGACAAAAGCCATATGTGGACCCTGTTCTCCAGAACCCCTGAATACATAATACTTTTATTAAATTATATGGATCAAGGATAATCTTAGTCAATGCTTTAGCGCTCAATTTGCAAGAATGCACTGTGACCCATGGTGTTGCTGGACTTTCCATATACCTAAAGGATTATTTACAACTGATATAACTCACTGTATGATGAATGTGTCAGTATGTGCATGAATGAAGGAGCACATTGTAAATAACATAATAGTCCGCTGATCAGTATTTTCAAACCTACATTTTATACATGGTATGGTCCAACTTGACTTATTATTTCACTTTCTATTTAAAACAGGAAGTGTTGGTTTCTAATTTAAAAGGCTAGATCAAGCCACAGGGAAGTACTGCTTGCTTGTCACTTCTGTTTCCTCTTCTCTTCTTTGAGGACATGGTGTGCTAATTCTAACCACAGTAGACAACAGTGACATGCTTTTGTAGGGGGTGTCATTCATCTCTTTTTGATCAACATTTAACGTCTATGTAACATTTGTATGCTAGAGATGCTGGGAGCACATCATGACTTCAATTATAGAAATGCCTTTATTTAAAGAACACCATACGTATGATTTATACAGATGTTAAGAAGGTCATAAACTTGTTGGGTTTATCTAAAAAGTTTAATGAATATATATTCTTATCTGACAGAAATCCTTAACATGGTTACAAAAACTTCTCACAGACCTCCAGACTGATTTATTCTACGTTGGGCCAGGTTTGCTTCAATGCAAAACTCCTCATTAATAGTTTCTTCTTTCCGTACTCGTCAGAGTTCATCATTGTCTAGATGCAGCAGCACTTTTCCTGTGCATGAGTTTTGGGTGTGAGATGTAAGACACTCTCAACCACTTCCTCTACAAAAGCCTGGTTTCTTTCACTTTACACAATCCCCTGGCCATTGACTCCTGCCACTGTCTGGTTTTAATAAGAAAAACGTTGGCACGACTGTTCCTGCTCAAGTGTAACTCTACCCAACTCATCATCTTTCACAATAAAACTCCTTGAACCTTGAGCTTTCATTCAAATCTGAGTCTGCATTTGCGTGTGTAGATCTGGGTTGTGTAACAGCATGAAGCCAGCAAACACTGACCCTGGGAGTGGAACCATATCCTCTTTTTTTTGCTGGGCAAAAGACAAACAAAAGATTTGGACTCAGAAAACACGATCCCCTCTTTCAGAAACTGCTGGACAATAGTTAGGATCTTCACGTCCAACTTTAAACCTAACGCTTGACGTGGCTTTCCTTGATGTCTTTGTTTGAGTCTCAGAACCTCCAACTGTTTCCATGAATGGAAACCAGGGCAGCCTAATGTCCCAGCTCTTCATGAAGATCTAATTGTGTCTTGGATCTTCCGTGCTTCTCCACTTACTGAACAACTGGAAACGTTTATTATGTTATACCATATTGTCTAAAGAAAAATTGTAGCCAGACATTTGTTCTGCTGTTCAGTTCTGTACGTTGACCCTGAAGAAAAGGCAAAAAAAAGCAGCGTTGCTAGAAGGTTTTTCTGGCTCCTTAAAGGAAAACACTAATGATGTCACGATCTGCCCCTGCCTTCCTGACTGTGTTCCTCTCCTGCCCTGATTAGTTGTTTATTGGTTTCAACTGCCCTTGTTAACATGTCCAGGTGGTCCTGATTTTCCCCAGTGTATTTATACCTCCCGTTTCGTATGTCCTGTGTCAGATTGTTGTTGTTTCAAGTCATCGTTGTGTTTGTTCCTGCCGTTCCCGTTCTGTAATTAAATTCATTTTTACTTTATCCGAGCCTGCATCTTTGCCTCCTGAGCTGCTCCTCCACACTTGGTCCACCCTCACAACGTGACAAATGATGAGTTGCCCTCTCAGGAGGAGCCAGTACAGCAGCTTTTGCTATAAAGTTTGACAACAGACTGGGAGCATCAACTTAGAGAAGCAGGGTCATTCATGTCCACCTTGTGTTTGACCTCTGATTCACACTTAATGAAATCTGCATCAGTCTGAGAGGCTCCAGTCCTGAGCCTGTACAACATGGCTGTCCTCACCAGACTGCAGAAGGATGCAAGTGCTCCTCTCAAGCCCATTTTCACTGTTATAATCTAATCTTTTAATCTCTTTTTGTCTCATTAGACCAAGAATGACTGGCTAAGCGTAACAGAAGATGTTTAGGTGAGTCGAGCAGCGGTTAGTTCCTTCTCATGCTCCCTGTCAACCGTATGAATTAGTATCCCTGTCACTATTTGCAGTGACGAGTTTAGGGTTAAAGTGTGCCTCATATTTAGGCAGAAATTATTTTAGAACACATCTTTGAACACCCCATGTGCTTTTATGAACATCCTGGAATGTCATTTTGTTGAAGCTGCACCCTGTATTAGTTAAATGTTACATGACATGAACAACAAGCGGTGGTGGCTCCGCAGTTCAGTCATGTTGTTTAAAACAATTCAGAGCATACTAAAATTCCCGAGCATATGTAGGATGTCTTTCAGCCAAGAACCACGAAAAATGTTAATTCAAATCACATGTTGGTTGCCATCAGAGCTGCCTCACCTCCCTAACTTCAACAAACAGACAAGCTGGGTTCCTGCGGCAGACGACGGTGCCTCACCCACCCACCCACCCACACACACACACACACACACACGACCCTCCACACACACACACACACACACACACACACACACACACACACACACACACACACACACACACACACACACACACACACACACACACACACACACACACACACACACTTCCCCAACCTTAAGCACCTGCTTGAAAGCTGCAAACATGCCACGGTATCATTGCCGGGTGCTCTAACTTGGCAGAGACGGTGACTCTTTTTGGTTTTGTTTTTTATTTTTCTTGTAATCCAACATTTATTAAATATAAATCTAAAACTTTTAAGTTGGTTATAAAACTCAGGCATCAGTGTCCAATGTGCCTGCAGTATAAACACTTTCCATCTTATTTTTCTGTCGGGGTACTTAGGAGAGAAAGTCAGTGCCAGACAATTTAAAGCTTAACCCTGAACGTAAACAGCTCGTGAGAAGGTTATGACTCCAGCTCACATGAAGACCTCTCTATTCCAGCTCAGCTCAGCTGGTTAAGCCATTAATCTTTCTTTGTACGGCTCCCCTCTGGCTTCGAAGGAATGATGTTACTTGCTGGTGGGGCAGAACTGGTGGTGTGAACAGATGAGAATTTCTCTTCTTATGGTTTTTCTTCTTCTTTTCACCACCGAGAAGCTGGAATTATGCAAAACCTGGTAGCTGTTAGTTTGGAAAGATGTTCCTACCATCAGAATTTTGTTCATTTTTGTAAATAAACCAGCATCAAAGTTGAATTTCAAAAAAAATTTCAGTTATGGCTAGGACAATTCAGTTCAGGTTCCGCATAATTCTGTTGATAAAAAAAACACATTTTGAAACATTTAATTCTTCATCAGCTCAGTTCTGGGGGGTATCTTTGTGCCCAGTTAGGTCCGTTTGAATATGTGAGCGTCAGGACAGCAGATGCCCTGATGAGCTGCACGACGAACTGTTCATTTAGCCATTTGTAATCACTGGGCAGGCCAGATTAACTGCCAGGCCACCGGGAATTCTCCCGTTACTCCCGATCACCAGTCCGCCACTGCTAGATACTGTACAGGAATAAGTTGGAGAGGAAACTACAGAACAGTTTCAGAGATGTGTGGTCATGAATGACTAAGATCTTAGGTTAAAAGCTCTTTCCTGCCCTGTTCTTGTGAAAACGTCACTCGTCAGTCATCAACGAGGGTAGACCTGTTGCTCCAGCTTGCAGGTCCGGGAGAGACTCCTGCTGACCCACCTGAATAAGCAAATAAAAACATATCAGGACTTAGTTTGCGTATCACTGTGGAGATGATGCCACCATACACTTGCTTCAACAAACCCACACTCTTCTGGACAAGGATCATGTTCTTTGATTTCTCCATGGAGAGAAAAGACAGCCTCAAAAAGTTGTTTCAATTTATTTTTCCTATTTCACCCAAAGTCTCCCTGTTAAGTTTTCACTTGTTAAACTCAATTTCGTGTGTTTTGATATAGAAAACTTAAAATTGCTTGTTATTTCAACAAACGATTATATTATCCTCATTCTCGTGCGTTCAGTCAACTTAAAACTGCAATTTATAGATTAAAAATGACCCCGCCCACTGTGAACGCTGCAGTGGGTGAGGTGCATTGTGGGTAGTCATGTTCTTAGTTATTTAGCTCTAATTTGAGGTGTTTATGCACATTTATTGTGGGTGGTGGTGTTATTAGTTTTTGCTTAGTCCAAAGGTGGAGTTATTTGTTGTTGTCATGTTGGTACTGAAAGTGAGGAGGGTGGTTGTAGGAATAAGAACGTTGAGCTGTTTCACTCCACTGCACTAACTAAAGTTGTAGTTCTCGCTAAATGCTCAGGACTCAGCTCCCTGTGTTGTGTATGAGGCGTGAGTTAGCCAGCATTTGTTTGTGTTGTTAGCTTCCTGCTTCACCGTTTGCCTGTACGGACACGACAGCTGCCGTTTTGATAACATAAGTTCAATTAATCCATTTGTTAAGTTAACAAAAACTTTTAATTTGAAAGGACAGCCATACATGTCTAACTCAAATTTATAAGTTAAAGTAATGTAGAATTGTGTGTATGTTTAACAAGACAAAATTATTTTTCCACCTTGTAATCTAACAAGATTTGTTGTTTCGACTCACAATATAATATTCAAACAAAGCATAGTTATTATTTATGATATTTGTACAACTTGACATATAGAGTTGAAAGAAAATGTTCATTTAATTTGACATGACTCAAGTTTTTAAGGCAGCTGTTGAACTTTCATTGTTAAGTTATTCTGGCCTGCTATTACAGTGTGTTTAACACAGTTCGGCCTGTTTTGCTTTGTCAAAAACTCCAGAAGACACAGGTGGCTGCCTTAACAATCTCCTGGATTAATGACTACCTGACAAACTAAAGGGTTGTGGGTCTGACCAGGTGGTCAGCAATGCACGAGCACAACAGGGGACAGAACTGTTCCTTTGCACTTCTTACACTTCAGACTTCTAGAACAAGTCAAAGACATGTCATCTACAGAAATATTCAGACAAACCGCTGGGTGTGGACATGGTGGACCACTACGAGGCATGGTGTGGGGTCAATCATCAAATCTTGAATGTAGACGAAACAAAGGAGGTGATTGTAGATTTCAAAAGAAACAGGAATATTTTATGTCAATCTCTAATTGCATCACAGGGTAAATAGTGGAGGTAGTCGAGGAGTATCTTTCTACAGAGAACATGCAAACTCCACAAAGACAGGCTTTTACTTTTAGCCCACATTTGTTTCTCAATCATGTTCCCACGTGTTGTTACGGTATTGTCATGATGGCTGAGAGTTTCCTGACCCACGACATGCAGAATCATCACAAGAACCGGCAAGTAAAACGTTCTTTATTATTTAATGAGAGGAATGGGAACAGATGACGTGTGGGCTGGCAGCAAGACTCCAGGAGAGGATTCTGAGGAGGGAGACAGAGTGAGTGTATGGAGGGAAGGACAGAGGATAATCTTAGGAGTGGAGCTTACTGATAGCAGATAGTGGTGAGAGCCTCAGGAAGGGCTAGGTCAGGTCCAGGTGAGCAGGAAGGCTCCAGAAGGTGAAGGAACTGTTGAACCAGAGAGGAGGTAGGAGCAGAGGCTTGATGAGGGCAGGTGAGCGGCTGAGAGCGGGCGGCCAGGGGAGGAGACAGCGTGATCTGAAGTGCAGGAATCCGAGCTGGTATGGAGATAGTGGAGTGTGGAGTGAAACCTGGAGCAGAGCAGGGAAGAGTAGTCAGGGTCTTTTCTGGTCGACAGGAAATCCAGCAAATAATTTACAAGATCTGGTACACAGACTGGAACTAGAAAAACACAAGATCAATACGGGTCAGAGGCTAGAGCTACCCAAAACTGAGCAATCATCCGGCGAAGTGAAGACCGTGATGACAGGATTGGCTGCAGCTGGTGGCTCTCAGACACGCCCACCTGAAACAATGCTCAGAGAAAACAGGTTACATGCAGGAGGCTCACCACGGACCGTGACAGGTATTGCATGAAGTTAGCACATAGCTGCTATGTTAACATGTTCTCCCATTTTTCTATAGCTGGGAGATAGATAAAAGTTGTAACCCCACTTAAGAGTCACATCAGGTCAGTGGTGGCTCAGACACGTTCATGTGTTGACTGCTAAACAAAAATGGATGAACAGACTTTGAACAACCTCTGAAAGCAGCTTGAGGGATCAGATCTGAATGATCCTGGTATTCTCTTTACCAGATAACAGGACCAGTTCCTTGTTAGCCGGTAGGAGCCGGCTGTTCCTAATCACCTCCTTTATAAAAGCACCCTTCATGCAACGCTATGTTGCCTCAAACAGCTGATGACACCATGTACTTTTTCTAAGGAAAGCCTTGGCACCAGTGTTTCTGCTCTAGCATAACTCCTCATGAATCATCACATTTACAAAACTAAACCAAAACCTGAACTTTAACTCGTCTGGCTCCTTAGCAGGGTTTCGCCATCTTAGTTGTGTGGCAACAATTCATTCATTTCTTTCTATCCCTTGCATTTGTTAAACATACACATGTTGACATGTTTTATTTTAAAAGCTAATTTTATTTATTTACCTGTAGAAAATGTGACTTTGGTCCCTTATGTGTCCGAAGTATTCTAAGTTAGTTATACAGTCTCTGCTTACTTTCTAAGCATATCACTACTGTTGCAATGAAGACCCAACACATCTGGTTCTGTTTGTCACTAAATGTATTTGCCTCTCATCCATGAATTGAAAGAAGGGTGGGTTGCATTTTTCTTGCAAGCTAAGCACTTGGATTTATGCTGCCTGTGTTAGAAAACAAAACAAAAAATCTGTCTCTTCTTGACTCAGGGACTGAGATCTGGGGGGTGTGTGAATGTGGAAATGCAAAAGACACGAAGGAGTAAAGGACCTTAAAACCTCACGTTAGGGCTCAGCATACAGGAGTACAGGCCTCTGGTGATATTTGTTTGGGGAAAAGGATGAACACCTGTTTTCCAGATGGTAATGGTGAGCAGTTCACTGGCAACCACTACAACTTGTATTTAATCCTTCTCTTGTCTTTCATTGCTATAAAAATAATCTACCAAATTTTCCAGACTATAAGTCGCACTTTTTTTCATAGTCTGGCTGGTCCTGCGATGTATACCAAATTATGTAGGCTATACCACGATGCTGCCGGCCAGCTACAACCCAGAAATCAGCTCCCCTGTCCCGCTGGGAGGGTTTGAAACACCGTCATCCTCTGCTGGAGACTATTGTGCACCATTGCGCACCGGATTGCCCCGGTTTCAGCTCCTCTACCCTGCCATCACCTGCTGCAGCCTGTGGCGCGCTGTTGCGGGCTGGCTCCGACCCAGGACTGAGCTCCCCTGTCCCGCTGGCAGGGTTTCAAACACTGCCATCCTCTGCTGGAGACCGTTGCACGCTGCTGCGCCCGCGTTGTTTATTCTGTTATTGTTACCAGTACTTGTCTTGCAATGTGAAATGCTTGGTCTCAGATTTTATGAGAAAAATGATAAAATTTCCCCCCAAATGTGACTTAAATATGTTTTTTTTTTCTTCTTCATTATACTTTTTATGGCTGGTGCAACTTATACTTCGGAGCGACTAATAGTCCAGAAAATGCGGTACTTATTAGTACAATGACCGGGGCATGGACTGTTTTTTGAAGAATGGGGACCCACACTGAACCCTGATTGTTGCCAGGAGCTTTGGGAACTGTAAACACCGTGCAGCAGACGAGTGACAACAATCAGTCAATGGAAACGCTGACACATGGATCTCCGTCTAAAAGACACAAACGTTGTGAATGTTCCATCAACAATCACCTTTAGTTCCTGGTCTTGGCTCTAGACATGAACTCAAACTCAATACTTTACAGGTAGATTTTGTTCTGTTCTTTAAACAAGTGCTAACAACTTTGGTTGAGCAGATATGACCGAAGTTTGGCTAAAACCTGCAGTCATAAGTTGAAGCTACTCATACATTTAGTAGCTAATTTCACCAAGGAGAGAATGTAGGATTCAGTGGGGTGTGAAAGTTCTGACAGCCTTGTTAATCTTCATGATTTTCTTGTTAAATGTATCATATAGGAGACACACACAGTGATATTTGAGAAGTTTATTAGATTTACAGAAAGTGTGCAATAATCGTTTCAACAAAATTAGGCAGGTACATACATTTAGGCACTGTTGTCATTTTATTGATTCCAAAACCTTTATAACTATTTATTGGAACTCAAATTTGATTTGGTAAGCTCAGTGACCCTTGACCTCCATCCACAGATCAATCAAATTATGAGAAAAACTATATATTGGACCAATTGTAAGTTTCTCTCCTCTTTGAATTTTCTGTGAAGTGTAGCAACACGGGGGTCTCACAACAACCCTCAGATGACCTGAAAACAAAGGTTGTTTGACATCACGGTTTCATGGAACGATGCAGAAAGCTGTCTCAGAGATTTCAGCTGTCTGTTTCCACAGTTCGGAACAGACTAAGGAAATGGAAGGAACATGGACAACGTTCTGGAAAGCCCATCTCCTTCCCCAGACCTGAATATCACTGAAAATCTGTGGTGTGAGTTAAAGAGAGCTGTCCATGCTTGAAGCCATCAAACCTGAATGAACTAGAGATGTTTAGTAAAGAAGAATGGTCCAAAATACCTTCAGCCAGAATCCAGACGCTCATTAGAAGCAAAAGGAAGAGCTTAGAGGCTGTTATTTCTGCAACAGGAGGATCTAATAAATATTCAGTTCATTTCTTTTTTGTGGGGCCCAAATGTGTGTGTAATGTACCAAAAGGGTCAATTTTCACCTATACATTGACCAACATGATGACCTTTCATCTACATGCAGAAATCCACTTTCTATTTGGCCTTCCAATCCCAGAAGGTTCTGCTCAGTGCGTCTTTACATACTGAAGACAAAACATCCAGACAAACATTCTCACCCAAGGTTCATGGACTCTGCATGTGAGCCAGACTTCAACATTCTTCACTCTGAATAAGTGAAGACTCCATGATTTTACACTTATAAGTTAAAGAATCAGATGTGATGAAAGAACAAGATGTTTAAAGGAAATGTTTGAACAACCTGTGCTTAAATCAATGATGGCTTTAAAATGAATATTGCTCTTACAGTGTTCCATTCCAGGTCTTATCTACACCAGATCAGTATGTGTTTGATTTAACAAGTTAATCATTATCTACACTCATACACATTACAATAAGATACATATTAAGGTCAATATTCACCTCACATAAGAGTTTGAACATTCTCATTTACAGTGTCAAAAACATCTTTGCATCTGCAACAAGGCGTGGCTTCTGAGGAATGTTTTGGTAAAGTCTTCAAGACATGGCACCAGACATGGCATATGAGTGTGTGTGTATATATATATATATATATATATATATATATATATATATATATATATATATATATATATATATATATATATATATATATTATATATATATATATACACATATATATATATATATTTATATATATATATATATATATATATATATATATATATATATAGATATATACACGTGTATATATATATATATATATATATATATATATATATATATATATATATATACACGTATAAATTTCATTCGTCAATTTGTTTGATCTTCTTAGACATTAAAACATAAGCTGATAGCAACAGCCTTTAATTCCTAGATATGTAGTTCATTAACCCTAGACACTGATGCACATGAATAGTTATTAGTGAAATATCTCACTAAAGAGCCTCCAGTTCAGATGCTAATGCTAGCACGAATGTACAAATATGAAAAACAAGAACATGGTCCTACATGACAAATCTAATATTCCAGTCATTAAAAATAAATATTTAACTTTCCACCACAAAACTCCTAAAATTACTATGGTCCAAGTGATGTTTCATTTCGTAAGTCATGTTTCTTAAATCAGTTAAACTATGACAAGTGGGTTTCTGGTGATCTATTTATTGACTTAATACTGTAGCGTTGTTAATCTACATAACTAGAATTTAAGCTGTTGCTATTCAGCTTTGTTAAATTCTGAGAAAGATCAAACGAAATGGCAATGAAACTTATATTATATATATATATATATATATATATATATATATATATATATATATATACACATAAATATATCCACGGATATTTATATAATCGATAGAAGTTCATACACCAACTAGCTTGGTCTATATTTAATCAAAAGATTAATATTTAATTTAAGAGATTTAATTAATAGAAAAAGCTTATTTATTAATTCAGAAGATCTTAAGAGATCTTTGCTCGTTCAGTGACCAAATATACACCACTCTGTGTTTTATTTCAAAGAAGAGTCAGGTTTAAAAAGTTAAGAATTTATTACTAACAATTTAAAGATGACAATTTAAAAGACAATTCATAAATGACAATTTATAAAAGCTTTGATATTAAAACTTGGTATTGAAGCAACCTGTGTCTGGATGAAACTAAAAATGAAACGTGTGTGTTTGGATGTGTGCATGTAGGTCTCAGAAGGTTTTTCTCCCAGAGAGAGAAAAACGTTTCTGGGTGAAAGAATTTGGTTTGCAGCTAAACTAAATTATTTCTTAATAAGAAACAGATATTCCAGACACAATCTTGTGTTCTACCTCACCGTTCAGACGACCCTCTGTTTGGATTCGGAGGTCAAGGGAGTATGTTGATCAGCCTCTGGGTACTCGGTCCGGTAGGGTAGACCAGTGGTACCGACTCTCTGGTCCTAGAGTTGCCGCAGGCACACAGGGGTGGAATTGGTTTGCGTCTGAGCCATGGACGTAATTTTGGGGGGGGACAGGGGGGACATGCCCCCCCACTTTTTCCAAAGTCAAGTTTTGACCCCTGCACTTTTTACCATCCAAAAATAATATTACGCTATATTTAATTGACACTGGTTGAGCTCTAGGACCAAGCAGAAAACAACCGTTTGTGTTGAAGCCTGTTTCCCATTAGAGCATACTGTAAAGACACCCCCCCCTGCCCCCCCCCCCACTTCTAAAGTGAAAATTACGTCCATGGTCTGAGCAGATTCTTAAGGAATCTCGTAGCCTCAGCTTGTTGCAGATGGCGTTTCTGTTTAAGCAATTCTATCGGCGTGACAGAAAAGCTTTTAATAGAGGTTTCGAACGGCCGACCCGATCCTCTGGAGTCTCGTTGCCATGGAGAAAATTTTGGTGAGCTCAAAAACTGAACTTGAACTGAGGAGTTAGGTTTTAACAAACCTCAGAACATGCCCTCCCAGAGATAGAAAGCTCTGGTGTTATGGAACAAAGACATGTGAGTGCAGTTACCTTTAACCTGATTACTGTTTCTGTGATTACTGATGGTGTGTATCAGTGCACATGATCTTCTTTACACTGTTAAACATTACTGATTATCATAAATAATAATTATTATTAACCAAAGAATAATAATTTATTTCAGTAATTAAATACATTTATAATGAACCTTGATGATTATTTATGAACATTGTAATAAGACAGTGAAAAGAGTTTATTAAAAATTATTCTTTTAAATCTTGAAGTGTCCTTCATCTTGCGGATG